GGGGGGGGCGTGGGGTGCCTGGGCGCGCCCCCTCTGTGGGGGGCCGCGCCGCGCCGCTCACCTGCGTGGCGTGGCTGTGGTTGGTGCCGCCCACCACCACGGCCTCGTCCTCCAGCAGGTTCTTCACGCCTGGCGGGTTGAAGGTCCAAGAGGGGGCCAGCATGGCAGAACGCACCGGAACAGGAATGCTCAGAATGCTTTGAGGGGCGCAACGGAAGGGCGGGTGAGGCTGTCTGGGAATGCGCGTCGAGAAACGTGCGGTGATGCAACACCAGCGCGCGTCACGGGGGCAGCGCAGCGCCGAGGGGCGCGGCTGGGCTGCGCCACCAACGCGCGGGCCCTGCGGAGGGAGGGGAGGTGGGTTCTCGGCCTCGCGCCACGGGCGCGGACCGGGTGCCGACGGGGGCCGTGGCGGGCTCACCGCACTTGGGCTTCCAGTGGAACTTGACGAGCGTCTCCCTGCCCGCCGCATTGACGAGCTTGAAGGTGTGCACGCCAAAGCCCTCCATGTGGCGGTAGTTGAGGGGCACGCCGATGTCATCCAGCAGGTGCGTGAACTGGGGAGGGTTGAGGGGGAGAGGACGGTTCGCAGCGGGCGGTTGGAGGTGGCCCCAGGAAGGCGGGATTGAAAAGAGGGCCGTTGAGCCAAGGTGGCCAGGGGTGGGGGCGAGGCTCTGCGCTGCGCGGCGCCACGCGAGCCATGACGGCATGCGACGCCGGCGTCGCCATACCGTGTTGCCCCGACAGACACACATACTCACACACACACACACAACAGCGCGCGCGCGTGTGCAGCGAGCTTGGGACACCTTTGATCCTCCCCATCCACGCCCCCCCCCAAAAAAACACACAAACACATGCACGCGCGCGCACGCGCGCATACGCGCACACACACACACACACATACACACACCAGCAGAGGCACACGCACTGGCGCCATTGGATCTTCCCCCTGACACGCACACCGTCATGCACACAATCACAACCACAACCCCAATCGCGATCACGTGCTGCCGCGGCGCCGCACCATGTGCAGGGCCTCAGGGTGGTGGCTGAAGAAGTCAGCGATGCGCCAGCCCTCCTGGATGTGGCTCTTGGGGTTGGGCTTGAGGGAGTGCACCATGTCGGGGAACTTCATGCCGTCGCGGATGAAGAACACCTGGTGGGGGG